GACTGAATGTTACTTTTATAACTCTTGATGGATTTGTGCAGCTGCATAAATTCAGGTATCTGTATTTTGTGATCCTGTTTCCTGCTTACATCCTGATACTCTGCTTTAATTTCACTATTGTGTTACTGGTTGTGTTTAAGGAAAGCCTCCATGAGCCCATGTACATTTTTATTGCAGCTTTGTTACTGAACTCTGCTCTTTTCAGCACAGTTGCCTTCCCAAAGCTTTTGATCGATCTGTTATCTAAAAGGCAGATCATATCATTTTCAGCTTGTTTCTTTCAACATTACATGTTTTACTCTGTAGGTATTTCTGAATTTTTGCTGCTGACAGTCATGTCCTTTGACAGATACGTGTCTATATGTAAACCTCTGCAATATCCAACGATCATGAGAAGAAGGACTATTAGCATCCTCTTGGCTTTATCTTGGATTATACCTACGTTTTGCATGAGCTGGTTTGATATTATTTTCCTGACATACCCAAAACAAATCTGCAGATTACCTCTTGAGACGATCTTTTGTGATAGCCAACTTTTCAGACTTCTTTGTGTGCGCATCGAAATCCTCGATGTACTGACTCTGGTCATACTGATTATTATTGTTCTTCTCCCTGTAATTCTGATATGTTTTTCATACACCAGGATAATAATAGTATTGTATCACAGTTGTAAAGAGGTCAGGAGAAAAGCTGCACAGACCTGTTTGCCTCATTTGCTGGTTTTAATCATCTTTTCCTGCTTAGGTGCATCTAAAATCATTATTTTTTTAATGCAAAATGAGATATCAAAAACTGCAAATTTGGTGATAAGTTTACAGGTCGTAACGTATAACCCCCTCTTCAATCCAATCATATATGGGCTAAACATGAAAGAAATTTCCAAACAGATCAAAAAGCTGTTTGCAGTTACAAAATTTGCTCATTCTTAAAAAACGAAAACTTTTTCTCTTGTTAAACAAATAATTCTTCTGACTCTCTGAGGTTATGTCATGTAACATCATAAGAAATATCTTAAATCTTTTGGTTTTTATACCTCGCCATGACATTTGGCTTCAGAGGGACTCTTCCAGAGCTCTAGACTGAATCTCTTCTGGACTGAGATACCTGCAATATGACGACAGAAACACACACAAGAGACACTCGTTTTTAATCCTTTTTTAGCATCCAGATTTTGCAAGGTTGTGATCACAGTTCAGTTCTTTATCAAACCAAATTATATATTTTTTTCTGCGTTTTTCTGTGGTATCGTTGGGTTTTTTATGCTCTGCGGACTGTCCGATGCTTCTATCTTTTCACACCACAGAAGAAAACACTTCTGTGTAAGTATTCTCCAGTGTATAACAACAGTGTAAATGCTCTACATTAATCTATAAGTCAAGAACTTATTTTGTTTTCTGTTTTTTCAAAATCCCTGTTTTTTTATGCTCCATATTTATTCATTATCAGATCATTTGTTTCTAAAGCTCGATGGGGCCCAACTGAATGTTACATTTAGAACTCTTGATGCATTTGTGCAGCTGCATAAATTCAGGTATCTGTATTTTGTCATCCTATTTCCAGTTTACATCCTGATACACTGCTGTAATTTCATTATTGTGTTTCAGGTTGTGTTTAAGAAAAGCCTCCATGACCCCATGTACATTTTCAATGCAGCTTTGTCACTGAACTGTAACTTTTATGGTTACTGAACTCTCTTTATAGCACGGCTTCTCTTCCAAAGCCGTTGATCGACTTCATATCTGAAAGGCAGATCATATCTTCATAAGCTTGTTTCTTTCAGTTTCAATTTTTATGCTTTTGGCAGTTTGGAGCTTATACTGCCGACATTTATGTGCTATGACAGATATGAAAACATGACTATTTACATTATTTCATAAAAGGGGATTGGCTTGCAAAAGTGATTGAATATACACTGTAATTGTTTCTCAGCAGCTGTACACTGTGATGGTTACTTATCTTTGTCATTTGCAGTAAAAATAAATTCAACTATGACGATTTTGTCTCTGATTTGTGTTACATGCACTAGCTTTAAGTTTCTGAAAATAGCTGATTCAATATAGTTTCCTCAGTGTGAGGAACTGATTAGGATTCCAAGTATTTCAAATTAATTCTTGTCTACGTTCAAAACTGCCTTATTCATGGCACTCGCATAGGGATAAAGGGAAACGAAGCTTCTTCAGTGCTGCATCTTTCTGATGCTGGATCTGGTTTAAGACGGGAAAAGGAACCCCCAAAAAATGCTAAACAAGGGTAATCCCAGTGACACGTGGCAGTGAAAGGAACCAAAAACCAATGGATCCACAACACACAGCAGGCAAAGGCCCAGCACTTTCAGCTGTCTTTGCTTTCTTCCACTTCCTTTGTGGTCATTGTAATTGTGTCGGCTACATTTTAAAAAATCTTACAAATTCCCTGGGGAAATTTCCAGGATGACGTGATCAGGTTTTTTTATTTATGTTTATGTTTATGCATTTGGCAGACGCTTTTATCCAAAGCGACTTACAGAGTAGAGACAATGTTACATTTATCATCACTATGACAATAAGCTATATAGAGGAAAAATACTGATCAGAGTCAGTGGTGAGATAGAGATAGAGGTACAGGGGACCACAGAAGGAGTTGTGGGGGGATAGAGGTACGGGTTAGGACTAGGTTAGGAGATGCTCTTTGAAGAGGTGGGTCTTCAAGAGTTTCTTGAAGACAGACAGGGACTCTGCTGTTCTTGTAGCTTGGTAGGTCGTTCCACCATCTTGGAACGACACATGCAAACAGTGTGGATTGTCTTAAGCGTGGTGAAGGCACTGCTAGATGACAATCCATTGATGACCGGAGTGATCGAGTTGTAACATAAGCCTTTGCAAGAGGATTCAAGTAGATGGGAGCCGTAACCCTTAAGCACTTTGTAGGCTAGCATCAGGGACTTGAATTTGATACGGGCAGCCAGAGGTAACCAGTGGAGTTCAATGAACAGAGGGGCGACGTGAGATTTTTTGGGCTGATAGAAGACCAGACGCGCCACCGCGTTCTGTATCATTTGTAAAGGTTTTACTGTACAGGCTGGGAGACCAGTCTAGGAGTGCGTTGCAATAGTCAAGGTGGGAGATTACCATAGACAGCACCAGGAGCTGGGTAGCATGTTGTGTTAGGTACGGCCGGATCTTTCTTATGTTAAGTAATGCGAAGCGACAGGATCGAGAAACAGAGGCAACGTGATCTTTAAAGGTCAGCTGGTCATCAATCATGACACCCAAGTTTCTTGCTGCCTTTGATGGAGTCAGAGAGAAGGATTCAGTTTGGATGTGAATATTGTGGTGAATAGTTGGTTTGGCTGGAAAGACAAGCAGTTCAGCTTTCGAGAGATTCAGCAGGAGGTGGGGGGCTTTCATCCATTTTGATATGTCAGAGAGACAGTCTGAGATGCGTGCTGAGACCGAGTGGTCATCAGGTGGGAATGACAGATAGAGCTGTGTATCATCAGCATAACAGTGGTATGAGAAACCATGTGATTGAATGATCTGGGCCAAAGAAGTGGTATGTATAGCAAAGAGAAGAGGTCCAAGTACTGAACCTTGAGGAACCCCTGTGGCAAGGTGGTGCGCTGCACAAGTGTGACCAAGCCAGGATACTTAAATGATCGACCAGTGAGGTACGATTCAAACCAGGAGTGTGCTCTCCCTGTGATGCCCATGCTCGAGAGTATAGACAGAAGGATGTCATGATTGACTGTGTCAAATGCGGCTGATAAGTCAAGAAGGATAAGTACTGAGGACTTGGCAGTTGCTCTTGCCTCTTTTAAGGCTTCTGTCACAGACAACAGAGCCGTTTCAGTGGAGTGGCCACTTTTAAACCCAGATTGATTTGTATCAAGGAGATTGTTTTGTGAAAGGTAGTCTGTGACCTGCTTAAAGACTGCCCTTTCAATGGTCTTTGACAGAAATGGAAGCAGACAAACCGGCCGATAGTTTTCCACCTGAGTTGGTGGGAGAGAGGGTTTTTTGAGCAGCGGTGTGACCAAAGCTTGCTTGTATGAGCTAGGAAATGTGCCTGACGTCAGCG